GGCCGGGCCGGGCCGGGCCGGTGCCGAGCCGAGCCCGAGCCCGAGCCCGAGCCCGAGCCGAGCCGTGCCTGTCGCCCACAGGAGGAGCCCCCGCTCGACCTGCCGCGGGCCTTCGCGGAGCACTGGAAGGGCCTCACGCACTTTTACCTGGAGGCCACAGGTAGGCGGCCGGGCCCCCTGCGGGGCCGGGGGAGGAAGGGCCCCCGGGGGGTCAGCCGGCGCCCCGGCCCGGCCCCGCGACGCCCTTCGGGCCGCTGGCCCCTCGCAGCTTCCAGCCGGGGCCGCCGCCCGACTCCGGCAGCTCGGGCTGCGCCGGCGCGCCTCTGCCGCGCCCGTGGCCAGTGCCGGTGCGAGCAACGGCGCGGCGGCCCGTGCGGCTGCACAGTGAAGTCCGGCTCCGGCTCCCGCAGACGAAAGCAGGCCCGCCCGGCAGACGGACATTCCCTGGCGCTTGAGGCAGATGCTGGACATCTTGGTCTACGAGGAGAAGCAGCAGCCCGCCGGGGAGACGGGGCCCTGCTTGGAGTACCTGCTGCAGCACAAAATCCTGGAGACGCTCAGCACGCTGGGGAAAGCCGAGGTACCCCCGCCTCCGCACGCCCGAGCCAGCCGCGTTTCGCCCCGTGGCTTGCACGGCCCTTTCGCACTGCCAGTGCTCGCCCTCTCGTTTTTCTTTAGGCAGAACCGCATGTCACCCCATCCACATGTTGAGAGCACCTCAAAACGTGGGTGGGGGACAAGGAGCAAGACATTTTAACCAGTGTTGCTATCAACATAGTGTGGTGTTGAAAGAGGTCTAGTACACCCACTTCCTTTTTTTAACTTAATTGGTGAAACTCTTTCTTAAAAAGTATCAGTAGGTGTTATGGGCAGGGGATAAAGTTTATCTGAACCTGAGCTATTATTAACTGCTGATGTGCTGTCTTATTCTTTTTCTTTCTCACAGTTCTTAAATTTTAGTTGTTGCATTTTTGTTTTATTTGATTGTGGTGGACTTGGTAAAGGATCTTTGAAGCCAGATGGCTGACAACGGACAGTATTACATGGATACACTGGGGCAAGACCCTGGGAGGAACTCCTTCTAATGCTGTGCTTTTCTGGCCCCAGTATCCTCTGGGAATGAGATCTCAGGTGCTCCTCTTCTTCAGTCGCCTGCTGGGACAGATGCAATGCCCTTTGCTGCATTACCTGAGTGTGTACAAACCTGTGCAGGTGAGTGCCATTTTGGGTGCACTTTTGGGTGCCATTTTTTATTTATTCTTGGAAAAAGAGGCTAAGTTGAGATGTTGTATTTGGCACCTCTCAGATATTCCCACTCTGATCTGGTGCAGGCTGAAACTAGTGCAGTTCTCTGTGTAAAGAAAGACACCCCTGAATTCTGTGCATTTGTTTAAAATTCTGCCAGAAAAACTGGATTCTGCCGCTTGTTTCTATTTGGAAAACAAAGCAGATTTGCAGTTTTGCCCTATTGACTGCATAGTCTAGGTTTTGGGGGTTGGCAGATGAGTCTGGCTTCAGCGCTTGTTGGGGTCCTACTATGTGCCCACTGGCTTAGCAGATCCACTGCTGATTCTTGCTCTCTGCCCGCTCCCCACTTCTACAGAAACTCCTTCAGCTTGGGAGCAATGCACTAGGCCCAGAGCCCGAGAAGGAAGTGATGCAGTTTGTTGCTGTCCTGTGCACCAAGATTCAGCAGGAGCCTGCCCTGCTCCCGTATCTTCTGGAGGTGAGGAATGGCTCGAGGCGCCTCCTCCACAGTGCCAGCCCCGCCCTGCCTCCTTGTTCCTGGGTGGTTCTGCTCCTTCAGTGTCTGCTTTCATGGATTCAGCTCATTTCCCAAAGCTCCCTGCCAATGACGTGTGTCAGGAATCAAGCAGGACCAGTTTGTCTGAAGGGGCACCACATCCACTGCATCCTGCACTTGGTGCTCACTGGAAGACCTGCCGAAATTGAAGTGTTGGCCATGAAGAGGCCCAAGCGCCTCAAAGACACTGCAGCTCCCCTCCACTGCCTGGGACAAATCCGGCACACTTCGAGGGGGTGGTGCAGCCTGATGTCCAGTCCCCTCTTGCTTTTCAGGTCAGGTGTGCGGATCAGCCCTCCCATCTTCGGGGGGCAGCCTCCGAGCCCGTGTCAGCCCCCTCCCAGCTTCCGCCCGCACCGGCAGAGCCGAGCAGAGGGCTGTGCCATGAGGAAGCTCCCTGTGGGGAGCCCACACAGGCAGCTCCCCCTGCCCTGAACCTGGTGACCTCTTTGATCGGCTTGTGCAAGAGCCAGGTAAGCGGCTGCAGCAGCACATGGGGCACGGGGGGCTCTGCCCTGGACTGGGAGACCTCCCGCCCGCCCACAATGTCAGCGGAGGGAGGGGCTTCAGGAGTGTAACTTGCTCGCCTTGCAGAAGAGGAAGGTTGCTCTGAAAGCTCAGGAGAACCTGCTGCTGCTCACAAGCATGGACCACCCCGCCATTGCTCAGACCTTGGCGCGAGACACCGTGCTCTGTGCCCTGCTGGCAGAGCACCTCTGCGCCCTGTTCGAGGCCATCCCCGCAGCTGTCAGCCCTGCTGATGTCACCACGCTTCGGCCAGCCAGCTGGAGGTAGGGTTCTGGTCTGGTCCGTGGCCAAGGCTCCCCATGGCCTGGCAAGGAAGTAGGGGTCCCGTCAGCATGGGTTCGTGGGAACCCGGGTGCCCGCCAGCATTGATGAGGGCTTGGCGGCAGGCTCCTCCCTCCTGTCCGCCCTCCCAACCCAAGAGCTTCCGGATGTGCTGCTACCTGTTCTTGGGTCCCCCCCCCCCCCCCCGTGCCCCATCTTTTTTGCCCATCAGCATACTTTGCAGCTTCCTTTCCAGATTAAAAAGAAATCTGGGGAATATTCTCTTAACTGCACCACTCTGCTCCACTGTTCCAGTCAGGATGCCCTCAAGGGAGCGTTTCCTCTTCATCCTTCACCTGGAAGGCCTTTGCGGAAAGCCCAGGGGCCTCGCAGGAGGCAGCGATGAATGGGCGAAAGTGTTTGCCTGACTTTTTTTTTTTTTTTCCTGACGGAGGGGCCAGGGCTTCCAGTGAGTCTTCCCCACTGCAGCAGAGCCGCAGGATGTGCCCTGGTTCCACCCTTGCAGCCAGCTTTCCCCCTTGCGATCTCCTTGCAGGCTTCAGGGCCGCTCAGGGGAGGAGAGCGCTTTTCCCGGACAGGCCAGCCTGGAGGCTTTCTTTGCCTGGCTCAGCCTCTGCGACAGTCTTGCGAAAGAGGCCCACCCGGTAAGAGGCTTCCAGCCAGCCTCTGCACAGCCCCAGCCCAGCCCTGCTTAACTCCCTGGCAGGACTCTGGCCCTCGCCCCCAAGAGGGGGCAGGGCAGGTCAGGCCCCGGAGGGCCCTGCTCTTCCCCTGGCCGGCTCCCAGCCCCCACCTTTCAGAGGGCATGTCCCACTGGAGGGAGGGACTCACCACAGCGGTGCTCTTCCTCAGGTTCTTGCTGGTGCCCTCAGCGAAGCTGTGGGCCGGAGGCTCTTCCTGGGCAGGCTGCAGCCCCAGCTCCTGCAGATGTGAGTCCGGCTTCCCAGGGAGAGGGGCGTGGGGAGCAGCCCTTCTTGCCTGGCTTGGGGTGCCCTGCACTCCCCGTGAGTCCCCCACGCCAAGCCCCAGCCCAGGTCTTCCTTCGCAGGTCAGAGCGGGGCATCCTGCTCTCCACGGCGCTCCTGACTGGCCTGGTGAAACAGGTTCGTGCTCCTGCCCTCCTCCAGGAATTGGTTGCCTTTGTGCTGGGAGCTGAGGGGGACCCAGCGCGCCCCCTGCAGCTGCTCGCCCACCTGACGGAGCGCTGCAGGCATCTGTCCGACGAGGTGAGCCCCAGCACTGCTGGGAGGTCTTGCTCAGGCGCAGGCCCCTCAGCCCGCTGGCCAGTCGTGCCAGAGGCGGCGGCAGAAGCCAGCGAGCCCCATGCTGTGCAGCTGGGGGAGGGGCTGCCGGAGTGCTGTCCAGCCGACCCGGGGGCCACACGGGCCGGCACTGGCCAGTCCTTCCTCCTCGTCGCAGATCAGCACAGCTACCCTGCGGCTGTTCGAGGAGCTGCTGCAGCTTCCTGACGAACGGGTTGTGCGGACGCTGGTGCTGCGCCACCTGGAGGAGCGCGGCTACGTGCTGAGAGGCCCATCCGGGCAGGAGGAGCCCGTGGCTCGAGAGGAAGGGCCCTGCGAGGACGGGCTGTAAGTGGGCTGCAGGGGAGGCGATGGCTCCCACTCTGGGCCACAGGAGGCGTCCCTGGCATTGCTGGGGAACCCTCCGTAAAGCCAGATTAAGACCTTTTCATCTTCCAGGCAGTTTAAATTGAAATTTGCATTTTCTGCCTCACTGAAAGTGAACTTAGCTTCTTGCCATCACTCGGGTGACACTTGCATTTGATGCGGTTCTGAGATTGGCAGCCAGACCTTTGCAGTTCCTTTTTGGAATGTGTTGGTCCATAATTTTTAACAACACAGAGGCAGGCTGGCTGTGAAAGTGTGTCTTCTGTCCTGGCAGAGAGCTGGAGGAAGATCCCTACTTCCCAGACATCAGCTTCCGGGTCTCTGCAAAGCCAGCCCATCCCGCCAAAAGGCTGGGCGCCATGCCTGATGTGAAGGAGGCCGTCAGCAGGTGGGGGTCTCGGTGGTGGGTGGGGGGGGCGGGCAGAGCGCTTGCCTTCAGAGCCGGCTCTCGGGTGCCTTCTCTCTCAGCTGCCATCTCTTTCCTGCGTCTTCTCTCCCAGCTTCCTTTGCCTCGTTCCTAGTGAGGCAAAGACTTCTGCCTACCTGGAGGAGGGTGGTTATGATGCCTATGTCTACGATGCTGAAGTGCTGGTGAGTCGCCAGCTCCCTCCCAGAGCTGTCCCCACAGTGGAGGCGTCCCGAGGGTGGCTGTCGCCTGCCCTTCTGGCGCCACACGGGGGCCTGGCGGGGGTCTCTTCGGTGCTGCGGCCATTCCCGGGGGCCTGGCCTGAGCACACGTCCAGCCCACGACCCAGCCCCCTCCTCCATCAGTTCCAGGCGTGTCGTGCCACCGCCTCACACTGGGGTTGGCCCCAGGCTTCCCGGCCCCTGGAGGACTGTGCTGCCGGATCCCGCTTTTACGAGGGCCGTTTCCTGGAGGTGCTGCTTGACCGGCTGGTGCAGATCCTGGACCAGGTAGCCTGAAGAATGAGTTTGTGGCTTGAGGCTGCAGCTGGCCAGTCAGGCCTGTTCCTGCTGCCTGGCCCAGCGGGAGAGAGGAGCTGTGGGGCTTTCAACCCTCCCTACAATGAGTGGGGCCGGAGGTCAATGTCACAGGAGGGAAGGCACCCCCGAGGCCCTTTCCCGCTTCCCACTCCACACTGCAGGATGCACTGGGCAACCCACGTGTCTGCTTGCACAATGGGCCAGGTGGGGTACAGGCGCTCCTCCTGCCCCTCCCCTCCTGCTGCTGCTCTGCCCCCGCACAGCAAAGGGCAGGCGGCGGACAGAGCCCCAGGCTGGCTGCAGAGCTAGCAGGCCGCCCGCCCGCCCTGTGTGGGCTCCCCCCGCCACTCCTTCCTGGCTCCTCTCCCATTGCAGCCCTACGCAGTGAACCTGCAGGTGACGTCAGTGCTGTCCCGCCTGGCCCTCCTGCCTCACCCCCACCTTCACGAGTACCTGCTGGACTCCTACCTGCCCCTGGCCCCAGGCTGCAGGAACCTCTTCTCCGTGCTGATCAGGGTAAGGCCAGCCCTGCCCCGGGGGCTGCCTGGGGGTGGCGCCTTCCTGGGGCCTGCGCTCTGCTCCAGCGGCTGAGCTAAGAGGTGCGATGCTTGCCCCTTCCTCGCCCCACTGCCTCCCACCAGGTGATTGGAGACCTGATGCAGAGGACCCAGCGGATCCCTGATTTCCCGGCAAACTTGCTGCTGGTCCGGAAGCAGCTGATGGGGCAGGCCCCTGCAGAGCACCCGTGAGTGATGGGCGGAGATGGCACCAGCTGCCCCCGCTAGTGCCAGCCTGCCCAGTGTGAGGGGCACCACACCTTTCGGGTGGGGTGGGGTGGGGTGGGGCAATGCTGGACCTTCTCCTGACCAAGACTGCCGGGGCCGGGGGTCCTCGTGCTGCCCCACTTGCGCCCCTGCGCGTCCCGTGAACCAAAGGACGGGTGTGGGCAGACCGTCGAGCCCCAGATGTTTTCTATTTCAGCTCTAGGTGCCTTTCCCGGTGCAGCCAGTGGCCGGGAGTGCTGGGAGTTGAAGCCCAGGTGCCTGGGGCTCTACCTCCCTGCCTTTGTGCATGGGAGCAGGAGGCCAGAGGAGCCGCCCGGGTCCTGCTGGGCCCTCGGTGGGGCTCCCGATTTGCTGGCTGTGCCGTCTGCAGTCCAGTGCTTGCCATGCTACTCCTGCCCCCTCGCGAGGATGATGGGACCAGAGCGGTGGCACTGAGCTGGCTGTGTGTGTGGAACGACCGGGAGACCGTGCTGTGGGGGGGGGGGGGCGCACTGCATACAGCAACACGTTGCGTGTGAAGTGACTGGGAGTGGGGAGAGTGGCAGGTGGCGAGGGCCAGGAGCCAACTCGGCGTTGTGTGCTGGTCGCTTGCAGGGTGAGCCACCAGACACTGCTGGAAGGAGTGGTCGTGCTCGAGGAGTTCTGCAAGGAGCTTGCCGCCATCATCTTTGTCAAGGCCAGGCTGGAGGCCCCTGCGTGATTCCCCCCGCAGCCTCCATGAGCCAGCCCCGCGTCGTGCGGCCGGGAGGGCCAGCGCCCCGGCCTCCACGGGCCGCGCCTGGGACATCTGTGGGCTCCTGGCAGCCGTGGCCAGGCGGCTCCGCTGCACGGAGGGAGCACGGCAGCGGCCTCGTGGCAAGGGGCAGAGCCAGCGGAGCCCGCATGGGGCCCCGGCAGCAGTGGCTCTTCGGCTGCGCGACTTGTTGACCCAGCCATCTGCATCCCGGTCCCTCCTGCCTCCACAGAGCTGCCTTGGTCCTCTGCAGCCACCTGAGTCAGACTCCCGAGCCTGCGCTGGGGAGCGGAGAGGAGCAGCCGTCTGCTGACCAGCCGACCAGCTTTTGGCTTCACGCTGGAGCTCCCAGCCAGCGGACGACCCTGTCCTGGACTGAGCTTAAGGACCCTGGCTGTGCCCTCCTGCTGTTGGTGCCCCATCCTGCTTTCACTGCCGCTTTTGGCCTTCGCTTTATTTCATGGGGACCGTCTGTGGGACATGGGTGCTGAGCAGCGACTGCTGCATCTCTGGAAGAAGCACAGCAGGGGTTGTGAGCAGATGGAGCTGCTGCCGTGGGTGGCACTTCCTCGGCAGGTTTGTTGCTCGTGCTTCACCTGGAGCCTTTTCGGCACATGCTGGGCTGCCCGGGAAAGCCGGTTGCAATCACCTTGTTGCTGTTCCCCCGGCACCTCTTGCCAAATTCTATTCATGCCTACTCAGGAAGAATATCTTAGGTTTGATTTTATTGTGCAAGACAGTTTAGCAAGTCAACTTCCCCTTAAGTTTATGAGTAACTTGTAGTGGTCACACAAGTTGTCTGTGCTGAGAAAATGAGGGTGACTTCAAGATCATACACAGCCACTTCTTAATGGGAATTATGTCTATACGTGTGTAAAATTTGGTGCACTAGAGCAGGGACATCAACCTTTAACCAACCGGTACATTTTTTGGTATCGGTATTTGGTATTCAGGTGCTTTACTTCCGTAGGGCAGGATGCACCAGCCCATTGATTTGTACTTGTGCCTGAAATAAACAGGTTGTGGAATGTGTGTCAAGCTGCCGCGCACTGCTGTGTGGGGCCAGTGGCAACCCTGGGGCACGGGGTGCGGCTGGCTGCCTGCCCCCTCAGCCACACTCCAAAGAGGAACAGCAAAACCACAAAAGAAATGGGCCTACCCGGCATCAGCAGCATGACTGGAAATCCCAGGGAGGGGCTGAAAAGGGGCTGAGGCTGGCTGTGCTGTTGCAACTGGGAGGAGGACCCCACACCCAGAGGGTTGGGGCAGAGACCTTGCGGCACTGACGAGAAGGGGAGTGCACACCCACGGCGTTTGCAAGCTCCAGTGAGCTGGAAGCTGCAGCAGTACTCGGAGCTGCTGCTGCTCATGAGAGAGTATTAACAGCCGAGTCTGGCGGGTTCCAGGTGCTGAGGAGGCAGAAAGCAGCACCGCTGCTTTTCACAGGATGGCAGCAACACGGGCTGGGAGGGGGTCCCGGCTGGAGGCTCCCGCTTGCAGGGCCCACTAGCAGGCACAGGTCGCGTGTTGGCCCGGCCGGGTGCTCCGCTCCTGCACGGTGTCTCTTGCAAGCACCCATGCCAACTGAGCGGCCAGGTCTGCCGAGCGGTGGCACCGCTGTGGGCCGCCTCGGGCACGGCAGGCGGGCTCGGGGCCTGACTAACTCTGGATGGGGATGAAGGAGGCGGCACTGAGCCTGCAGAGGGCCTTGCTGCGCAGGGCCCCGTCCTCCACCTTCCACCAGGTGAAGGCCGTGCTCTGCAGCGCAGGCGGCGCTTCCCAGGGCCGCTGGCTGGGCTCCCCCACAGTGGCCACCACGTTGAGGCAGACGCCGTCGCTCTGGCCCGGCTCCTTGCCCAGGTGCTGCAGGCCCAGCAGGCCCCGGACGTGGATGGTGGCCTGGGCCGGGGGCAGGCACCTCCGCGCCAGCTCGAGCACGGCCAGCAGCAGCGAGCGGCGCAGGCCGGAGGGCGCCACGCTGCTCACCGCCAGCGGCAGGTGCGGCGCCCCCGCCGTGCCCAGCAGCACCCACAGGGTGTCTCGGGCGCCGACGCAGGCCAGCAGGAGCCGCTGGCAGAGGAAGGCGCAGGGCAGCTCGGCCGGCAGGCCAGGCGGGTGCCGTGGGCTGGCCCGGTACTGCGAGGCGAGCTCCACCAGGGGCAGGATGTCGGCCGCGCGCAGGCTGAGCGAGGGGCTCTCGCGGTCCCACCAGCGGGCCTGCAGCGACTCTGCATCGGCGTGCTGCAAGGTCTTCAGGGCGCCACCTGCAGCGGGGAGAGCCGCCGTGAGGCTCCCGCGGGCGCGCCTGGCCGGGTCCCCCAGGAAGGCAGCCGCCCCGCGCCCCCCCAGCGGCTCCGCCTGCCCGCGGCGGGAAGCTCCCCCCGGCAGCTCGCCCCCGGCCTCGCGTTCCCGTTAGCAAGCGCGCTGGCGGGGCAGCAGCTGCCGGGGACGCGACGCGCCCCGCCCGCCCGCGGGAAGCCCCCTGTCCGCCCCGCCCCGGCCAGCACCGGTAGGTTCGGCGAGGAAGACGAAGCGGATCCAGCCGGGGCCTCGCTCCTCCACGGCCAGCAGGGTGCGCGGCTGGCACTGCAGGCCCGTCTCCTCCGCCACCTCCCGGCGCATCGCCTGCACGATCGTCTCCCCGGGCTCCATCCGGCCGGCGGGCAGGTACCACGCCCCGTAGCACTCGCGCTTGGCCTCCTGCACCATCAGCACCTCGCTCTGCGGGGGCGGCACCGTCAGCGCGGCCTCGGCCCACCGGAGCAGGCGCGGGACTCCCGCGCAGCGGCCCCGCCGCCCGCCAGCGCCCCCCGCCCGCCCCGCACCTTCTCGTTGAACAGCACGGCCAGCACGACGTAGCACGTGTTCCGCCGCAGGCGCGCCGGCTCGCGGGGCTCCGGCGGGCCCCAGTCGCAGCCGCCGCCGGCGGGCACGGGGTAGCCCTGGCCGCTCAGCACCGCCTCCAGCTCCTGCGCAGCCATGGCGGGGCGGGGCGGGGCGGGGCGGCGGACGCTCGGCACACGCTCGGCGGCCCGCTCTTCCCGGGGACTGTTCTGCACATGCGCCGAAGGCCCGCACGCGCCGAAGGCCCGCGGTCTCCGCCCCCGCGGGCCAGCTGGCTCGCCCGCCGTTGGCCGACGCCACCCGCCCCGCCCACCCGCGGGAAGAGGCAGCCGGGCAAGGGGGCGGGAGGCGCGGGGGGGCTGCCGGGCAGCGCGAACCCCCCCGCGCCGCTTCGCCAGCGCAAGGAGGGGCCGCGGCGCATTCGCTCCAGGCGGGGGGGGGGGGGCGCGCGCTCGCCCCTTGCTGCCCCGGAGCTGCCCTGCCCTGGCAGCACGTGGCTCGCCCGGACCGACAGCCAGCCAGAGGGCAGCTGGTGGGCAGCATCGGGCAAGCCCTCTGCCACGCAGCCCGCGGGGGGCACACAGCGCCCACTCGCTTTCCGGTTCAGCCACGTAACAATCTGAATGGAGGAAAGGGAAACCTCCTCCGTGGGGAGTTTTGCCAATCCTGAGGTAGCCCTCCCTAATCCAAACATGTTCTACATTTTACAATGGGGAGCCATGCTACAAGTGAAGTGAATTTATTTAAAATATATTAAAATTACAAAGTCACTTAAGGCCAGTGGTGGTGGATAAGTTACTAGTTTTCAAGAGGTGGAGGAAACTGGATCGCTCGCCCAGGAGAAAAGTGCTGGGGCCCAACCGACATCCCGGAAGGGGCCTGGCCCCAGGGACTCCTGTGCGCTGCTCCGACCACCCCTGCCTGGAGCAAAGCAGCTGGTGCCTCTTGCCTGGGCAGGAGCCCAGCCCTGCTGGAGGCTGTCCCCACGGCTCCGTTCTTTGCAGGGGGGTCAGCTCGCGGCCCAGTCTGCAGCAAGTGGCAGGGCACGTGGTGGAAGAGGGGGCGGGGGCAGAGCTCCTGGCATCAAGCAGGAAAGGCTGTGGGGCAGGCAGCAGTGAGAGCAAGGCCCAGCTCCAAGACAGAGCTGTGGCCCTCTGCCAGCGACAGGCGGAACCTGTTTCCAAACCGGCCTGCTTCACAGCTGAGACTCGCCTCGGGTCCCTTCAGCCGTGGCAAGCTGGAAAAAGCATTCCCGGTCCCTAGACAGGGACAGTGACGCAAGCTGCAAGACGCCGTCTGTGGCCCTCCCACGCACCCGCTCCGGCAACTGCCCGCTTCGCTTCTCGTGGGGCCTAGCAGTCTAGATCCACCACCTTCTTCCTGGGGCGGCTTCGCGTCAGGCGGGAGCCCTGCAGAAAGAGCAATGGGCCACATGGGCCTGTGAGGTTCCTCGCCCTCCGACTCCACGCAGGCACAGGCGGGGAAGGCCACGCAGGGGAGGCTGTGTGCACTGTGGCCCAGGTGGAGCGTGCCGACGGCCGCTTGCTGCCCGCTGGGGAAGGCCCTACCTCCTTGGTGGGGGGTTTCCGGACCACGCGCAGGCTCTGGCTCCTCGACAGCGGCTTGGCCAGCATGGGGCCCTTGCTGTGGCCCCTGGCACCAGTGGAGAGCTCGGAGTCCGACCAACAGTCCTCCTCGTGGCTATCGAAGTCTGGCTGCTGGGCGGCCGGCCTGTGTCCTGCAGGGACAACCCACCATTAGGGAGCAAGAGCTGAGAGTCGGGACCGAACCAGCTGCGGCCTGCAGGGGAGGCCAGATGACATGCAGAAAAGCAGGCAGGCCACAAGTGCGGGCCCGGCAGCTGTCTTTACCGGGGGGGTGGGATCAATATCTAGCGTGACCCTGGAGAGATGGCAGCCCCGGGAGATGGAAGTTCTGCTAACAGACTCATCCCTTGGAAATCCCCACAAAGTAAAGCTTCTTGCAGCTGCAAGCTCTGTTCCACACCCAGATGAGTCCCAGATCATGGCCAGACCCAAACGCCTTCCCTATTATATTGAGTCGCTTCCTCAGAGAGGCAGCCGAGCCACCCAGACGGGAAGCAGCAGGAAGCAGCAACTCAGGAGCGCTGGTCCCCCGCCCCTGTTGATTTGCGGCAAGCACAACAGACCTTGGTGTGCGGTCACTGGAAGACAGCAGCCTGATCTCTCAAAAGGCCTGTTTGCCAGAGAGGGTGCAGCAACCTCGCCAGGGCAGTGCGAGTCAGCATTCCATTCTTGAAAAGCACCCAGGAGGTCGCTCGCTGGGATCCACGCTTCCCCAGCCTCACACCTGCCTCATGCACAGGGCCTGTGGGATTGTCTTCCAGGCACAGGAGACTCACGAGGGACACTCTGGCCCCTTTCCCCCTGCCCAGGCAAGGCCCCAGGAGTGGAAGACGCCCGCTGCAGGAGCCAAGAGCCAGTCAGGGCCCCCTGCAGGCCAGCCTTCATCTTACAGCAAGTGGGGCCACAGCCACACAGGGTGCGTGCGGTCTCCTCCGGCCCACCACCTCTGTCAGGACCGCAGAGAACCCCGGGAAGCCCCCCAGCCGCCTCCCCGCAGCTCCCGGGGCTGCCGGGTGTTCTCACCTATTGGCTGCCGGCACAGCTCCTGCTCCTCCAGGTAAAGGGGGTCAGCATAATGCAGGGGCGTCTCGTTGGGGAGCGAGTGCAAGTCCTGCATGCTGAAGCTGCGCAGGCGCCCAGCCAGGGCCCCCTGGCTCTGCACAGAAGGGCAAGGGTGAGCGCGGGTGGCGCAGGGGCCGCTCTGCTGGCTTCTCATGCCCGCGCGCCCCCGTCTTGCGATCCCCGCAACAAGTGGCCTGCCCCAGCCGTGCCCCCCAGCCCCAGTGCGCAGAGGGGGCGGTGGCGAGGCTGGACTTCCCACCACACGGGGACCCAGTGAGCCCGCCGGCCTGCCGCCCCCTCCTCCAATGTGATGAGCAGCTGGACAGGCAGCAGCTGGGCAAACAGGAATGCCCCCCCCCCACCCCAAGCAGGGCGGAAGGGCTGCCACCACCGGAGCTGCGCTGTGGGTGGAGCAACGTGTCCCCAGGCAGGGGCCCCGGAGAAGGCCCTGCTGTGGCCCGCTGTGGAGCACCAGACGGGGGCACCTCCGGGGAAGGGACAGCCCCCTGGCACGCTACATGGGGCCACCCCCCCCAGCCACCCCCTGCCAGAGCAGGCACGGAGAACAGGCAGGCACCTTTGCAGCGGCGTGGACGGCGGCTGTGGCCGCCACGTTGAGGGTCTTCCTTCCGAAGCTCATGGCGGCCTCAAAGCTGCGCTCTTTCATTTGCAGGAGCAGTAGGTCAATCTCCTGCAGAGGGACATGGGCTGAAAGGGCTGTGCTTGAGGTGGCCCCGGAAACTGGCAACACCTGTGGCACTCAGTCCGCAGTGGCCGGGCTGATGCTGCAGAAGGCCTGCCCGCTGGCCTCCCTCCGCCCTCTGCGGGGGCCTTCCCTCCGGGCTCCCGCACGGACACAGGCGCATGAGCCCTGGCTGGCCTGCAGGGAGCCGGGAGCAGCAGCTCCGTGGGGATGGCCTGCGTGACACCCAGAGAAGGGCAGGGCCGAGGGGCAGAGGCGCTGCATCGGCGGGAGGAGGTATACCTTCTCTTTGCGGGACAAGGTGGGGTGGACAAACTTGCGGTATAACAGGCTGGCCCCCCTGGTGTAAGGAGCAAGCAGCCACATGACAAACGCCATCTTGATCTCGTAGTAGAAGGGAAACCTGTTTGGCAGAAGGGTGCGCGTGAGGCCCGGTGCTCCAGGAGCTCGTGCAGCCGCTTGCACAACTCCTGGTGCTTCCACACGGGCGGCTTCGACCACAGCCTCCCAAGCCTGGCCGCAGCAGGCCAAGCGCAGCATCCCAGCCCTGCGACCAGACCAAGACCGGCCGGCTCTGCACATGGCCGGAGCCGCTCCACGGAGCCTTCCCAAAGACCAAAGTCCGCAGACTGGAGCGGCAGCATGCTGCCGCCCACCCGCCTCGTACGACAGCCTAAGCCACCGGGTGCTGCAAGTGCGACCGCTGCACATTTTTGCACTCACACACTGACCCGTTACCAGCAGAAGCATATTCCGGCCAGGGCCAGGTTGGCCCAGCAAATGGACCGCAGGGCCACACTAGCAGAGCACCGAGTGGCAACCGCTGTGCTAGCCGAGTGGCTTGGGGCTGGAGCAAACGCCAGGGCTAGCTGAGGAGGGCCCCACTCAGCCCCGGGGCTCACCAAGCGACCGCGGGCCCGCTCTCTTGCCCATCCTCCCTGCTGCACAAGGCCACTGCAGACAATGGGCTGGGGAGACGCACTTCTCCTGGCATGCAGCCAAGAGTGCGGAAGCCACAGGGTGGGAAGGTGCAGCTCCCTGCAGAGCAGGCATCGGCCTAACCGAGGGCTCGCAGCTGGGCCAGCAGCATCTCACCAGGAAATGAAGATGTCCGTGAGGGTCTCCGTGGCCATAAACAGCGCGAACACAATCCAGTACATCATCCAGCGCACCTGCAAGGAGGTCAGGGCCAGATTAGAAGGCCGAGATCTTTGCCTCCACACCGTGCCCCAGTCAGAAGGAAGCAGCTGGGCTCTGGCCTCCCAGGAGCTTGTTCCAGACGTGCAGGATGGCCCCAGGGCAGCCCGGCACGCTGATTGGGGCGAGCATAGCAACAGAGCCAAACCCAACCCGAAGCACGGCGGCACTGGCTTTCTCCTCTGCTGAACTTGAGCTAGGGCCTTCACTCGCTGCCTGAGCCCCAAAGAGAGAGGGAGGAAGCCGAGTAAGAGCAGAGGGGCCACCAGAGCGGCCACATCAGGCACAAGGAGCCCCGTGCAGGGCGCCCTCAGATCACATGGCCCCACAGGAACCTGGGGCCCGGGCCTCCTGGAATTCTGTGGCCAGGCACAGCACTGGGAGGCCTGGGGCTGGGGCGATCTGTACAGCGCTACCTGCCCTGCGTGGAAGGCCAGCTGCACCATCCCAGCCCATTTCTACTTTCCAAATGCTGAAGGCAGAGAGCCAGGACAGGACTTGCAACAGCAAAGTGTGCCTGAAAAGCAAATCCCCCAACACACTTTTTTGCATGGGGGGGAGGGGGGAAGAGACCTGCTTCCTTACATAATACTCAAGGAAGCACACAAGAATTATTCTGTGGTAAACACAGAAACCACAAGAGCCTCCAGATGCAAAAATGCTGTTAAACATCAGTTGGCAGGCTCATTCCTAAGCTCTAAGCTCAGCAAGGGGGTGGAAGCAGTCCTGCTCCCCTCCCCACACCCGCAGTGGCCCTTGCCACTTACAGTGGCTGCAGGGAGGACCAGGCACCCCAGGAAGGGGCCCAAGGGCTGTCTCCCATGACCCCTTCCTCCGGCCACAGCTGGACTCAGCCACTCAGGGCCTGTGGCTTCTTCCCCTCCAACTTACGTATTCCCGGATATTCTTGGTCTTGACTGCTTTGTAGGACGCGTAGGCGGGGTACAGCATCCCAAAGACCAGCCTGTAACGGAGGGGGAGGGTCAGGCATGCCGGCCAGCACCGGTACAGGCCCGCCAGCAGCCAGAGGCAGTGCCGCTTCCCGAGGCGCAGCATCTTCGCCTTCACGGCTTCCAGGCCCATGGCGACACACGGGGAGGCACTTTCTCCACCCCTCTGGGAAATGGGGTGGGGGGCAGCGGCCACAGAGCAGAAGGACCAGGTGGGCTTTGTCCGTGAGGCACAGGCAGCAGCAGCCCTCCAAGCACCAGCAGGGTGGGCGGCTGCTCCGAGGCGCAGCTCAAGCACCTGGGAAGCCAGGGCGTTCCGGGGCCTCCCACTCTCACACACACGCCTTGGGTTGCTCAATGCGGCCTCAGGACCAGCTCGACAGGCTCCCCAAGCTTGCCTCCCTCTGCTGCTGGATGTAAGCAAGAGGGTGGCCAGCGGGGAGGGTGGCCAGCAGGCTCTCGATGCGGAGCCACAGTGTGGCCAGCCCCACAGGGCCCCGGAGCCTGGAGCAAGAAGCCAGGAGGCTGCAGCAAAACTATTCCAGCCCGCAGGACGCTTTGAGCACCATCTGCGGCTGCATTACTGGAGCCTCGACACAGAAGATGGCAGAAGGCTCCCAAGCATGCTGGGGATCATGGAAGGTGCAGTCCCACACTCTGTTGGGAGAGGCTACTCTACAATGGAACAGGACAGAAACTTGGCATTTTCAGCCTGGAATAAAACAGAGTTAGATTGGGTGGGGGGGGGGGGAAGCTGCCCGTCTGCCCTGCTGAGAAATTAGCACACAGTGTCTACTGCGGAAAGGGGAGTGCTTCACACTCAGCCCCGTCCCCTCCCACATGGCATCAAGGGGGTGACGGCTTCCTCTAAGGCTCCCCAAGCATGTGCATCCCACCCCCACGGATGGGGGAAGTACCAACGAAAGTCAGCACCTGGTATGCGCTGCCCTCCACGAGGGTGCAGCCCCACAGAAACCGAACACCTGCAAAACGGCCTCTGGGCTTGCACAAGCCACTGCCCGGGGAGGGGCAGGCGTGACCCCTCCCAGATCCAGGTCAGCAGGTGGCGGCCAAGCAGGGCAGCGGCCTGCTGAGCTGCGCATGCAGTCCGGGTGCCTGGCAACAGCTCTGGCTCCCTCACGGTGTCCTTTGAACCCCATCAAAGGCCGAACCTGCGCAGCTGCAGGCGGCAACTTTACGACAACACCCGAGGCTGCGAGGGGAGCCAGCCAGGGCAGCCGCCTGCCAAGGGCTTCCCCGGCCGAGTGCAGCCCTCCCCGCGAGCCCGGTGCAGGGCAGCCCCTCTTTCCTCCAGAAGGCCAAGCTGCAGGCACAGGTAAAATTACCTGCCCAGTGCAAAGGCTTCCGTACCCCGGCGGAGAGGAGCAATTCCAGCCGCAGCCCGAGAACCCGGGGCGGCTTCAGGAAGCACGTCCAGGCTCCGCGGCGGTCCCCGCCAGCTTCCCACGGAGGCCCGTGCCCGGCTCCGAGGTCTCATCCGCTCCCGCGGCGCCGCCCTCGCCCCCGGCCGGGCGCCGCACAACTGCCCACACCGGCGCCCCGCTCCCAGCGGCGAGCAGAGCAAGCCGCGACCGGCCCGGGCTGGCGGGGCTGCAGCATCCTCGCACCGCAGGCGGCTCCCCTGCTGCCCCGAGGGAGGCGTGCCCGGCCAGAGCCACGCCGCCCGCCGCAGCCGCGAGACTCACACCACGACGCGGCACAGGACCCACGACACCATGGCCGCCGCGGCCGGCCGGCCGGCCGCCCACGCCGCGCGGCTCCGGGGCTCCGCTCTGCTCTGCTCTGCGCCGCGCTGCCCGGGACGCCCCGTCGGCTCCGCGTCCGCCCGGCGAGCAGCGCGCAGGCGCGAGCT